TAAAACTCAGGAGCCAACGTCACGAATATAAATGAATAGAACTTCATTTCCAGATAATTTTGAAAATTATTGGCGCTTAAACGTAAAACCCTCCCAATGATTAAAATATTCTAATTTTCGGAACGGCACAATTAAATATCTCTCCTTGTATATTTTCCATGTTTCGGCTCCAAATCTTTTCATATGACGCGAATTATGCGTGTCATATCTATCCATAAATAAATGCTTCTATTTTTGGGTACAAAATTGCTTGAATTGACTAGCAACATGCGCCAATCTTCACATTCTTTGGAACAGCCGTAATAGACCTTACTCTTGATGTGCGTGCGAAGTTTTTGTCCAAAAGAACGTCCGACACTGATTTTTTTGACCGAAAATTCGAAATATTGTTGAAGTGATTCCAATACTTTTCCTTTCATTTTGTCTGTTGTTTGCTTCAAAGCAAGCATTCTTAAAAACCTGTCGTTCATTGCTGGCGTTTTGATTTAGACCTCGTGAACCTGCAGGCGAGATTCCGAAGTAATGAGTGTAATTTACTGTACGAATACTTCCCAAACACTGTCCATCTTCCATAACACATTCAGCCGATTTCCTCAGATTCCTGCGAACGCATCGAGTAATGCAGCCCACGTTGTTCACGCAATGAGGCCAGAGAGTGCCGAGTTATCGTCTTCGGAGTGCCTTTCCGTGTCACCGGCGCGGCTGTACACTCGTAAACTCTCCAAGAGTTCTGCCCGGGGCGATGGGTGCCATTCTCATATCTTGGCGAAGGAGGCCACGTCTGTGTGTTCTCCACTTTTCTGGGCAGGTGATATCAATGGGGCTTTGCCTTTCACAGCATTAAGGATAGTAAGGTGATTATGTGAAATCGATAAATAATGGATGGTATGGGCGGACTTTTGGTGGTAAGATAATGCCAAAACGCCACAACCACGTATGGAAGACATTCATTACACAGTATTCGAACCCACAACCATCCTCTCTGCGAGCTAGGATGCAACTCCGAGTCCGTGTGTTTGCACCATTTCATTTATTGGCAGTCATTCTGACTGCGCAGTCAAATCCCTACATACCTTTAGCTTGCATACCTCGCTTTTCTGGAAACCGCGACTAAAATTCTCTATTGCCATAAAAACGTATGGGTTTTCGAACTGAAATAATGGGCCACATTTGCAACCGGGAAGAGGAACGCAGCGATAAGCCAGTCCGTACTCAATCGCAATGAGGTATATCAATTCCTGCGCACTGGCGGTCTCCAGAGATAATGGTATTACATTGCGCACGTTATGCAATCCGGCCAGTAAGCATTTGGAAAACACATGAAGCGTTTCGACGATGCAACGTCTTACTGAAGGTTAGACCACCCATCTAGTTAATTGTTAAAGTATTCTGATTTGATTTTGATTTATTTAGTCAAAGAACTGAATGTGACGTATGGGGTAGAAGTACCATCTGCGCACGTTCGTAATATATTCCCTTCTAATATTTCTTCATAATATTTTCTCGACTGAATCAGTTGTAGTAGGATTAATGAAACATTGCGTTTGCTGAAGTGGTTTGAAATTGTAAATATGTTAGAAATTACAATATTAATTTCGTAATGTGATCGACTCGTCGACCGCACATAGTCGGTGATATTAAAAAAAAAAATAATTATGAAAGAAAAAATGTAACAATGTAGATACATTTTTAGACATTATCTGGAAAATTAACAATGTCACGTGAAGGGTGAGTTTTCCCATTAGTTAATATGTAATTTTAAAATTAGTGTGCTCCATTATTTTATTTCATCTCCCGAAGAAGTTCATTGTATCCAATCTGAAGAGATCTCTGCAGAAATATTCCCAGATATTAAAGAAAAAGTTCTGCAAAAGCAAATAAAAAGTTATCAGTCGTTGCGTGTGAAGTTAACATAAATCGGATGTCGTGTTATGTGCAGGTTCTGAACTACCAATGAGTGCGTGTGTAGTTGTGAAGTGAGGGCCAAGATGGAATTCTAGGAAGAATTGTAATTTCTGTTTGTGAAACTGAGGAAGAGGAATTATTTTCCTTCTGCCCGCACGAATTGCTAACTTTGGTGGATGGTTACGATCTGTGCGTTAAGCTAGAGGCGTTTATGCATTTTCCCTTCTCACTATCTTCTTTTCCACCCCCTATCACCTTCTCCTTCCATCGCTCTTTCTGTCCCAGCCTGTCGAGTCCTTCCGTAAGGTATGTTGCTAGGCGCTGGTAAACTTAAGTTCTCGATTCCCTAGAATATCCAACCCATGTATCGTTTAAAGCTCACCAAACGCTAACCGCCACTGAACATATGCTCTTCATGGTGACCATGACCCAACACATCCAAGAGGCCGTGTGGCATGAACCCCCCCCCCCCCTTCCCTCCCAGGACCCACCTCAGTAGTTTGTGGCATGATGGGTTCAGGGGACGGTGACAGCCAGAGCTCGCGAGGCATGTGCAGCGAGGCTTATCGCCGCATTTTTGGAGCCTGGCGCTCACTCTGTCTCTCCCCGCTCTTCCAGGACACGCGGCATTCCCGCCTTTCGGGGCAAGATGCACCGGTCACTGCGCTGGTATCGAGTTCTACACTCGTGCCAAACGATCAGTCGTTTCTCTCAATAGCTCTCTCCTCTTTTAACCACGAACGCCAGCAGATCTCTCGGCTGGTGGGTTCCAAAAGATTGCGCTGTCAAAACGATTTTGTTTCTAAAACGTTGGCTCTGGTTCCCTCAGCCTAAATTTTGACTTTATTGATGTTTTTGACGATTTTCGTAAGTTAATGAGATGATTTATGAAATAATATACTTATGTATTCATTACAAAAAAATCCACTTTCTTTCATCACTATTTAAATTTGATTACAAGACCGATTACATTTTTGGTTAAAGGTGATGTGAGATCAAAACCCTAGCATTCTCTTAAATTACTTTATACTACAAGTGTTCCCAGTTTTTGAGTGAATTTTGTTGTTTACGTACAGCCAAAAGTGCTTTAAATACCCAAATTTTAACAATCACTATTTAGCATTATATTTTAACAAAAATCACTTGGTAAACAAAGTCGTTGATTATAGCCTCCTAAAAAATTGAAATAAAAAAATAATAAAAAATATAAATAAATAAAAAAAAGAAAGAAAGAGAGAGAGAGAAAATAAAAGAAAAAATTCATGGAATGCTTTTCGAATTTAGAAGTATTGAGATGTCTCTTTCTCTCTCCTCTCTTTCTCTTCTTTTTTAAGTTTAAATTCTATTTACTTATAAAAAAATTATAAATGTTTATGTTGCATCACACTTTTTCTTCTTTCTTTGTCATTGCCCAAAAGATATTTCTTCTTGATTTGCACGTTAGATAATTGATGATGGCTGTATTATGACATTGTTCAGTATTCAGTGGTATTTTTAATGTTCTTTATCATGAAGTAAATCCCTTTTCAATAGGTTTCCATTATGTAAAACTTTACTAATAATATTATTGTTAAATTAATTTATAAAATATACTAATAATATTAATTAAAGAATTCAGTGAATAGTAAATAAATTATTCAATTTGATCAATCACATATAGCAGCAACTTCACCTTTATTGAATATTCAATACTGTGTGATAAGCTCTTGGTGTGGTGAGCTCTTTAAAATGTGATTGTAATGAAATAGTGCACTTTTGTAATTCATAGTATATTTGTATTCATAGTAAATTTGTATTCTTTGTTGCAGGAGAGAGTCTTGAGGAATTAAATGGGTATGGAACTTACAAACCTCGTAATTTAATATCCTCAATATTGGGGACTCCAAATCGACCTAAATCACACTTGTGCATATCTAACCCTCATGACTTCAGACAAGTAGGTTTTTTTAAATTATTTTTTGTGTAAAATTTTTATTTGTTATGAAATAATATATTGAGTACAATTGGTTCTTTGGTATTCAGTGTGAAATGTCTTTTCCAGGTGTCTGCCATAATTGATGTAGATCTTGTGCCTGAAACGTGTCGTCGGGTGCGCTTATTAAAACATGGCTCAGATAAACCTCTGGGCTTTTACATTCGGGATGGCACGTCTGTGCGAGTAACCCCAGCAGGCTTGGAAAAAGTGCCAGGTATCTTTATCTCCCGGCTAGTACCTGGAGGGCTAGCTGAAAGTACAGGATTGTTAGCTGTGAATGATGAGGTTCTCGAAGTGAATGGAATAGAAGTAAATGGCAAAACACTAGATCAGGTAAGAGAAAAAACAAGTTTGTCTTCTGTGAATAGACTTAACATTTGCTGTATTGCCCTTTGTAAGTGGTACCTATTTTAAAATAAATAATTGGATTGACTAATACTAGTTTGAAATAATGTTTCTGCTTGCTACCATTAATAAATTAAAAAATATTGCATTTCACTTACTTTACTTTCAATATGAATAATAGTCAATAATTGTTCAGAATTCTTGAAATGTTCAATTTAAAAATGAGCAAATTACTTGTGCCTTAAAAATCTCTTGCATTTTTTTCAGGGTGCCAATGGGTAATGTGGAAAAAATTTTGAATAGTCTGTAGAATTTGTTTCTTGTCTGGGAATATTTGCTTTTGTGTTATATCTTTTCAATAAATTTGAGTCTTAAGTAGTAACACTATTTTGCTTTGGACATATTCAGAAAAGCAGCATTTAAAGCAAAAATGAAGTCTCATATGTGCACATTTGCAGTAATTATACTTGGTTCTAAAAACTATATGAACAGCAAATTGTTTTCACTTTAAAAATTAAAAATTAGTGAATACATTTTTTAACTAAACCTTGTATTAATCAGGAATAATATTTTGCGGGGAAAAGGCAGTGAATTGGTAAAGGAATGCTATGATATGATAAAACTCAGGAAGAGGGCAGAGAAATGTAGATTAGCATGTTTGTCTTCTTTGCTGGGTAATCTTATTTTATATTCACCAGTTTGTATACTTTTTTAATGGTGATAATCAGGTATGTAGTTTTCTTTATACCTTAAATTTTTTAATTCATTGTTTCAGGTCACTGATATGATGGTTGCCAATAGCTCAAATTTGATCATAACTGTAAAACCAGCCAATCAACGTACTTTGGCACCTCCTAGGCGTGGCTCCTTCTCACGCAATAGTCAATTATCATCAGGCTCACATCAGTCAACACAGTCTGCTGCAACAACTGGATCAGATGATGATCGCTACGATCAAGATGAGATTGTTGATCTTACTGGTATAACTTTAGAAGATTCTCCTCCCACAGTTAGCCCCAGTGCAAGTTCTAAGGATGAAGGAGTGTTACACCTGTGATGACCTCCTCTGCCCAAAGTATCGTAGCATTTTGTAACTCGAAAGGGCATTGTATGTATAACACTGATCATGTTTATACATTTTTTTGGAAAACATATTTTTCTGGAACAGCATGGAAGAAGTGTATTGAGGCAGCTCTAATCAGTTTTTACACATTATATTTAGGGTGTGTATTCACACAACAGTGGTGCTCATTGTAACCATAAGACAACTATAAATGCATGTGTGCTGAAGATAACATATATCAAGTAAAGAGAATTGTAGCTGTTAAACTTCCTATACTTTGAACAACACTTCTTGTACTGTCCCTCATGAAAAGAAAAGTTATTTTGAGAAAGTGCACTGCAGTGCAGTGTGGTGTAGATAGTTTTAGATAATTGAAGATAAGGAACTTGGAAGGCTATAATTACCTTTGTTGAAGATTTCCATTTGTTAACTGAGAAATAAATTATTACAAAGGTACAAATAATATGAACGTCATATGTGACAATATTTCTTAGAGAAAAGGAAATATGTTGCATCTTTCCTTAAAACTATTGAATGTTGAAGAGAGAGAAAGAAAGAAAAAAATGGCTCTCGGAACCAATTGTACACTATTTGTAGAGAGAACTTTTCAGTATGCTAAATTCATTATTTAAAGATATTTCAAGTTTAAGAAATACTGAGTGCCTACATATTGTTCCATCCATTTTAAAAGTAATGTTCAAAATCATTGACTAAATATGCAAAGCTTATAAATTGCATAATAAACTCCATTAACTAATGTATAATATTATACTACTTACTTTTATTGTAAAATGTGAATTGTTGTAGGAATGAAATTTATGAAACAATTCTAAAATGACAATGATATTTTTGTAACAAAGATGATGTAAGCTACATATTTTATTTTCCAGTTGAAAATGTTATTGTTGCAATATTTTTAGAAACAAATATTATTGTGCAAGAGGTTAGCATCTGAGACTGATGAGTGCATATATTAGGTGAAAATTTGTTGATTGAAAGAAAGTTGTGTTCAGTTGCATTTTTGTAACAAATGGAAAAAATATTTCTCCAAGTTTGAAGCAAATGAAAGGCCCTGTTATTTCATATGGTCTTTAACATTGCAGATTGATTACAAAATTGGTAATTATGAGTTTCCCTGAATTCATTGACTGGCATTTCATTTTGTAATATAATCTTACTTTACCTCTATACTGGTCCGTCCTTTTATCTTGTCTTGATTTTGTAAACTACTTTGCATAAATTTGACAACTATATTCTTTTTTATTTGTGTGTAATTTCAATAGTAATTGCAGGATATATTATCAAATACATCACAATGGTAATCCATTGTAGTCTGGTAGAGGTCCAATGACCCACCTTTGTATAGTTTTCCTTTATTAATTTGTAGTATGCTTTAGTACCTTCAATGTCTTTTATGTTTAATACCACATGAAGACTAGTATTGTAACAACATTGACCTGTATATAGGAAGTACAGGGCAAGTGACAATAATTGCGCCGAAGTTAGCAAACTTCAGTCTTTGTGCAATTGTTGCATGTTCTGTACAACAATGACCGAAAAAACAATAGATTCATTGATAGTGGTGTATGCTGCAACAAATTTTCAGTATTGATTTTGTATGTGTTTGTGTGTGCAGGATGAATTCATGAATCGAATAGAGATTTTTGTTACTGTTATGTGCTATGAGTGGGTGTTGCAATGCATCTTAGGAGTATTGATTTTTGTTATTCTGGTCATGAGATTGTTGTGCAGTACTGAAGGGTGGCTCAAGACTGGAATATGACCTAAAAGTTCATAATCCTGAACATATTAACTTATTTTGAAGTTCTTTCATTGGAAGGCATTTTATTGGAAACAAATCAGATACTGCTTATAACTTATTTACATTTATCCTTCGAGAAAACTGAATTTACTCGTACATTCCAAATGACTATTATCTTAAAATATGATTGATTTATTAGTTCAAATTGGCTGTAAGTTTGAAAAGTAGCACATTTCAGGAATTTTAAGTTCTATTCACGAAGAATGTGTAATGTACAAACATTGTGCAATCTTTGTGTTAGTTCAGTATTATATGTATTTGTATACATTGTTGGTAGCATAGCCACTTGACTGTTTTCTAAACAATTTTCTTCCTTCTTTAATGAGAAAAACGTATGTATACCCTACCTAAGAATGATAGCCATTTACATTAAATTTTATTTTGTGTAAATAGAGTACATAAGTACTGTTGTTAAGCAATTACTAGATACACTGTTGGTTTACATGGTTTGTGGATGTGAATACTTGCTGCCTTTGCAATAACTATTGTCACAAGACCTTCCTTGTATTGTGTACTTAAAGGGACATTTGAACTGGTCTCATTTTTCCATAAGAAGCTGTACTTATTTTGTGACAATTTTGACTGTTAATACACATTCCATATTTTGTATTAATCTTCTGTGATTGGTTGTAATCTGTATTTTAATATTAGGCAGCTGGTATTTATAACATTTTCCATTTTCATATTGTCTCTATTAATATTACTGGATGTAATATTTACAATTATAATTTTTATATTTTACAATCATGAAGAATGATATTAAACTGTTTGAAATCATACAAATAGCGTTTGCATTATATTTTCTGTGGTATGTTTCCTATTGTTATTACCAAGTATTTCAAATTATTAAACTTATAGATGAAAGTTAAAAATATGATCATTAAGGGTTAAAAGATGGATTCATTAACCAAGTAAATTAAATGTCCAAGTCCTCACTAAAGAATTGGCAGAAGTTTACGAAAATTGCCTCATTTAAAAATAAAAATTGATTTTGATGAAAAGTTATGCTTAATCAGTTGTGTCCATCCAAATAAAAGAGTTAATAATTTTAAAACTGCAAAAGCAAAGCGTTTTGTAAATGCTCTGCTTGTTCAATTGCAACTCATTTATTCACATGACCTACTGGAACAGAATTATCCGTAACAGTTTTTTTGTAAATATTCGAGCCATTTCACCTCAAGTGGAAAGTACACTGCATTAAACACTTACAAATTCTTTATACTTTGAAGTTGTTTCTCAAAAATACAGTAGAGCCTCGTTTATCTGCGTTTATTATTGACCATACTTACTATTATGATAAAAATTGCCAAAGAGTGTTTTAATAAAATAAAATAAAAAACAACAAAATAATAAAAAAAAACAAAAACAAAGCAACTTTGTACCAAACGTAAAAGGGAATGACTTGTGAGCAAAAGTATGTTGTATGAAGATTTCTAGAAGCATAAAGACAGATACTTGGCTGTTTATAAAAAACAAACAAAAAAAAACCATATATGTGTATACACACGCGCACACACACGCACGCGCACGCACACACGCACACGCACACACACACACACGTACACACACACACACGTACACACACACACGTACACACGTACACACACACGTACACAACCCACGTACACACACCCGTACACACACAGGTAACACGTACCACCACACGTACACACACACACGTAACACACACACACACATATATATATTATATATTATTATATATCTATATAATATATATATATATATATATATATATATATATATATATATATCATATAATAACTTATATATAAATATATTATATATATATATTATATTATATATATATATATATATATATATATATATATATATATTATATATATAATTACAGATAAGAGTATCCTGATATTCTCTACGGAGTATATATGTAACACAGCCACACACACACTTTTTTACATTATGCTTTTTAATATTTTTTACAATTTATAATAGTTTCAGGGTGAGGAAGGAATTCCTGAAAGAGTTCTTCTCCTTGATAATGCTTCTTCACACCCCTTTAGACTTCACACCCCTTTAGAATCTATCCTGAAACAAGGTTGGTCAAATTTTTCACTTCACTTTCACCTTATGTTTCTTTCATTATGCCATATAGCTAATTGATGTAGCTTTACACAGTACTGCACTACACTACATTTCCTCTACTTACACTACCACTACTTATTCAGTCTTGTTTTGAAAACATCAACAGAGCCAGGCAAAGGCTCTTTGACTGCTGTGGTATTTCATTCCAGTTTATTGTACAATTTATAACTAAGTATTTTCGTATGTTGGATCTTTGACCTTTACTTTTTATTTTACATTTGTGGTAGTTTCTCCCAATTCTCAAAGGGGTCTTGTCTTTTTGTTATTTCTGCTCATGTAGGTGACTTACTGTACCCCTTGAACGGCAGCACAACCTGTTTTTTTCTTTGCATTGTGGAAGAAGTCGATATGTACCAAACAGAAAAAATTTGACCCTCGTGACATCATGAATTTGAGAAAAATACATTTGAGAATTCTCAAGTCAGGAAAATCATTTTAAACTGCAAAAACCGAAGACTCGTACACATATTTCAAACCCTGATAACGTGACATTGTACACATATTTCAAACCCTTATAACATGACATTGTACACATGTCTGCAATTTATTAGATAAAAGTGTCTCGATTAACCATGGTTTTCAATTATCTATGTGATCATTACCCTAGGTAATCAAGGTTCTACTGCATGTTAAAAAGTGTAATTTGCTTGCTTGATAAAATAAATTATTAATATTTTAATCTTATAATTATAGTGTATTAACGGAACACTTGGAAAAATATGAAAAACCAGTCAAAGTTTGAATTTAATTTTCATTCAGTTCATTAGAATATTTAATTTTTTAAAGAGTAGTTACTAAATTATGTGCATCTTGGATTGTAAACTTTAAAATTTGTTTGAAAGCTTTGAGAGGGATGTGCAAATAATCCAATTTTTCAGTGTGTTTGTCATTCTTTTTTGGTTTTGCAAAAACTGTGATGTCAAAATTTTGACAGAAATATTTTTTGGAGAAGTGTGTGTGTGTGTTTTATTTGATTATTTTTTTAATGCCTGTTCTGTCTGTGAATGACACTTATGCCTAAACCTACATATGATTGTTACTAAAGTAATCTGGATGATGTGACTTCTTGAATCTGAAACATATTTTAATTTTTGTGAGGTTAAAACTTTTTATGATGCCCTAATAACATTTTTGAAATGTTCATGTAAATTGTTCCAAATCTTTTGGTTAAATTTTCTTTTGAATAGAGCAATGAAGTTTATAAAAATAACACTGGTCCAATTTTCCTTAAAACCTCTGAATTTCCAAAAATTACGAAATTAAAAAATGTTTGCAGTCTTTCTACAACTACATTTTTGAAAACAGATTTTTCTCTTAATATCTGTTCTTTGAAATTAGATCTGTAAATAATGTCTTGTACAAATTTTTGAAAATATGAGTAATTTTTACATAATTTTTAGACATCATGACAATATAAACAGATATGAACAAAATTTTCTCTGAAATTGCTCTAAATTTGTTGGTGGAGTAATATTCTCTGAGCAGTTTTGTACATGATATTAAGAATTGCTGTAAGATTTTTGCTATTTCAAAATGGCTGTGATAAAGTATTACTATTTCTCAACTTCTTGCAAGGAATTTATAACTTGAATTTTGTGCTGATGACCTGATTTGGCCAACCTTTGGTATTCTATTCCCCATTTGTAAATAGCATCTGACATTAGAATTTTTTTTTTATTGTAATGATTATCGACTCTTTGTTGAACTACTGAAAAGTCAGGTACGTAATAATAGTTTATTACTACATTTATGTACATAAATATGTGCAGAAAATGTTTTATTATTGACCATGATGTAAGAGACAAGGAAATTAATTACAATAATTAATGACTAATGAAACTAGTGTGATGGTTCTAATTTTTCCTTTAGTGAAATAAATCCACTAATAAGGAAAAACAGAATTATCTATTTCAGGGTGAATGATTTTATGGTGTATACCATAAACTCGAACAAGGTAACTTACTGTTTGAATAATTTAAAAAAAAAACAACACATTATCAAGATTCAAATTATAATACAAAATTTATTTACGATATTAAACAATACTTAGGAAAAGAAACGATAACAAGAAAAACTTTACATAAACAATTAAAAGAAAAAAAACTTCACGGTCTGTTCATATTTCAATATACTTGTACATCTTCCTGCTCATATGCACAAGTTGTCAAACGTCATTAATATTTTTCTTAAATCTTCCTTCTCCTTCAAGTCATGCATTTCTTGTTGACAATTAAATTACTCAGTCTTTACTTCTCACTGAATAATGTCTTACAGTTCATAAAATTTCATCGTCCACCAGACCATATTTCACACTGTATTTGGTAAGGTGATCATTCCAATTCTGTTATTCATTTTTTAAAAATATTATTGGGTGTCTTGTCTGTCACTATAGTATCTGTCATATCATTTTTATTTAGGTGGGCCATGCACACAAACACCGAAAGTCTGATAATCTTGACTTGTTACACTAGTGACAGTAATGTTGCGAATTCTGCATTGTGTATGTGAATCATGTTTACAAAATGATGAATCAATATACAAGACTTGACTTTAGTAGAGTATGAAGTGAAGTCACATTTTTAAGAGATAAAACTGACTTTTGCATCTTGAATTAAATTCCAAACTATTAAAAGTAACTAATTACATGTTAATACAATAATATTAAACTAATAGTGGTGATGAAGTATGAACCTATTTGTCCCCCACTATTGTTGCCAAGTGAAATATTCCTAGCTTACAAACAAAGGCCCATTATTTAGCAACTTGGTTTAAACTTGTTCATATATTTGGATGATCCAAATGAAAAAAAAGTGTGTTATCTGATCATTGTTGCACCTGCAAAACAGGCTCTGTATGCTTTTAACGAAAAACAATTATGTACATGACACACGCTTAAAGAATTAAAAAGCTTGTAAGAATTGTAAGAAGTTTAATGATATGTTAACACATGCAATGCAAAGCAAATAAATATCTGAGAGTGTATAATGCCTCCGCTGTAAAATGACAATCTTAACACAGCAGTTTTAACAGTTGTAATGAGTATATGTATTCACGTTCAGTGAAAGATCTCTGAAAGATTATCCATCTCAACGACCAATTTTTTGGGGATGAACACTGAAACCTATTTATTGTATGCAAATTGTATCCCTGTTGACAGATCACCAACCAGTTCCTTAACAGTTTCTTAATTTTCCCGTTTAAGATCACTTTCAGGAAAATTGTAAAAACAATGTATTTTCAGTAGTAGAAATGAAAACTGGCAATGTTAAAAGCATTGGTGTGACATGTTCATTGCCTGTGCTTCATTCTTACAGGGGTGGGGGATTTTAGGAATCCATAAACTGTGGCCACTGATGTATCACAACTGCTCACTCCATTTGTTTAGTTTCTTTTAATGAGATGGTGGATATGAAAATTGCCTAATGTTTAATTCTTTGCTTTTACAGAGCCTTCCTAGAAGAACATGTTAGAATAAATATCAATGTTGGAAGTCTGGGACATGTTAATATTTGTGTTATGTCTGGAATCTGAGCCCTGCGGTCACCCAAGACCCTTGTTTTGAAGTTTTTTAATCGTGCAAAAAAGCATGAGACAAGTGAGATTTTGACCTCCTAAGACATAGAATGTGCCATGCATACCCATATAACGGACAGTGAAGGCGTGAAAGAAGAGATAATAACAGGTTCTGATAGACAACTATTAAATGCATTTAAAAAATATAGTGAATTCTCAAATGCACTTTCTTATGGCCCAATGAATAGTGTGCTTCTGAAGCTGTAGCTTCATACAATGTGAGTTGGTTACTTTTATAAGTATTAATTTTAAGTGTTTATTTTTGTGTCCTGGGAACATGTGCTCAGTGGTACACAACCTCTCAATGTCACTCCTTTGCACACGCAACTGTCAATCACCAATTTCTTTTAAACGGACCAGAGACATCCCATTTCTAGTAACAATAGACCATTTTTTGATTGGGTAGGGTGGGGGGAACCCATATTAAGTAACCTATTCAAGAAAAAATTTCATATAAGTGTTCCATAAAACCTTTTCAACCACTAGAACAATTGCTTTCAAATTTTGTAAGTATACTGTTGAGCAGCTGGAGAAGAAACATTGGGTGGGTTGCGATTCAAAATATTACCACAAAATGTGCGTTTGGTAAATATATACCCAGACAATGTTTGGTGTATATCACATTATCCAATGTTAAATTATTCAATGCCCAAGCATTGTACTAATGGCATGTAATACTTCCATTAGTACTGTACTTTCAGATAGGTTAAGAATCTACAGAAACATTCAATTTTGTGAAGATTAATCGCAAACAAGCCATGTGCTTGCAATTTCAAGCTAGGTATTTCCCCACATCCTTGTGTAATTATAAGGAATTGGAATCAATAGAAATCTGAGCCCCAACATGAAGCAGGGGGAGGAGGAGGATGGGAATGTAACAACAATGCAGGTGGCAAAACATTTTTTTCCTGGAGTTTCTATGCAAAACAAAAATTAGGAACATGGGAGGGGGGATAAAAAACAAACTCAGCTCTTTTTTGCATTCACAGTTTCTTTTCTAAAGGAAACTGATGAATATTATAATGCACTTTTGAAAAATTCGACCAGACAAAAAAGTATATCATGAATAATTTTCTCTTTGCATTATAATTACACGTTATTATACAGGTATTTATTTCAACAGAAGAGCACAAAATTGACAATCATTAAAATAACATCTATATTAGGTTTTTGGAGGAATCATACAATTTCCATCAGGATATCTTTTCCTAAAAGCTTCTATGAGTTCAGGATCAACTAATCTTACACCATCCACTTGATTGCCCAATGTGATCCTGTTAAAAAGTAGAAACCAAGAAAAACAGAACATAAAATTCAATACATAAAGTAAATTTAGTTTACCAAAATATTATTGTAAAAACTACTATGATTTTGACTTTGCTTGAAACCTGTATATTATAAGTCTATAAGTAATAAAATAATAATAATAATAATAATAATAATAATAATAATAATAATAATAATAATAATAATAATATTTTACTATTATCATTACTATTTATTCAACTTGAACACCAGCAATATGTCCAAAAGTTTGAAGCAAAAAAAGAACAAAAATTTACCAGTTGGGTTGCACATTATGTGGTCGACCAAAAAGTTCAATCTTTCTTGTTCCGGGAGAAAGACGTTCAATAATACCATAGATTTCATCTGGTTTATGACTAGTTGCACGTACTTCAGCAACAATAACATCACAGTCTAGTCCACGGTTTAGGTTGTCTGGATTGCCTTTCATTCCCACCTGGTAAGGAGTCAAAGAGCATAAACATCAAATAATGCTAACTGCATCAAATTACATATTACAATCTTAGATGCACAGATGTCAGGTAGTTAAAAATAGCTATTAACGTACACTAAACAACTAAATTACTTTCACAGGTAACTAACAAAATTGCATACAAATGGAAACAAACCAAGCAATGTTCCTTCCCGTGATTCAACCAGTGACCTGTTCGGCCTGTACGAATAATTCTTTGCAATTGATTGGTTTTCACCCAAATTATTTCATCAACTCTTTCATACCCCCACAGCTTTAGACATTCACGGCCCAATTCCATTGCTCTGAAACAATGTAAAAGGGAATAAATTAATACAAATGATCCTGACAGTACCACCGCAAAAATCATTAATAACTATACCTGCCAGTAACCCATAAAAATATGAGACCTTCATCTTGCAATGTAGGAATGCCCAGCTGTCTCATCTCGTCATCTGACATAGTTCCATATGGTAATTCCATGTGAATGTCCCAAGGAGGATCTGCCATGATCACAGCAAACTTCCCTGGTATCACAAGACAAAACAATTGTGTGTAGCTTAAAAAAATAAATAATATTACAAACAGTTTGGGGGGATACTAACCAAGTACATTCATATCTAAGTAACGTAAATCACACTGTACCCATTGTGGTGGGTATAAAATTGTCATTTCTTTTGAACGACCTAGAGCTTTACATTCAACACTATCCAATTTGCTGCCGGCTTCCTTAGGAAATTGCACAGTTGGACCATCAACCTCATAATGAACATATCTGCAAGTAAAACGAAGTCAGTGTTTTTTCACACAAACTACCTCTCAAAAAAGCATGTCTCTAACTTACTTGCAAGTATCCATGTGGAAGCATGTATTCAGAAATGAGCAGTCTCCTAAAGATTCATCAGTATGCTTTTGAATAATTTTCTTGAAATGTAATTTTTTGCAAGGCTCTGCAGAACTAACTTTCATGCACTCTGCTTTTGTACCATGGGGGCAAAATTCCATAACTTGAGCTCCTGTAACATACAATTCACTTGTAAATATTTTTCAGTCCTTTACATTCTACATTTAAATGTTACAGGATAGAAATTCTTTGGAGTTACTGGATAAAGGCCAATGGAAAAATGACTGCAAGCACACCCATAAATAGAATAACAAACAAACTCCTAGAAACACAAATATATGTATTACTACAACCATTCTGGGTCTGTATTTTGAAGTTAAATACATCGAATTTTAAACGTACTCTTTTGTAAACCTTCTTTAAGAGGATTAGTGAAACACTTACCTCCTTGGGAACGGAATCTTTCAGCAAGAGAACGTTCTTTGGCTGTTGGTTTACTAAGAAGATCTAAAATTTCTTCTCCAACCTTCTTATTTTCTTTCTCTCTTATAGATGGCATTGATAAAAGAGACTGAAAATATTGACAATACATTAAAAAATACAAAATTGATTGAACAGGAAGTGCAGCAGTCGGATTGAATACTTGTCTAGTAAAAAAAAGAAATTAATAAAACCATACGTAAATAAACATTCTTCTATATGTATAAGGAAAGTATAAGAAGTATTTTTTTTATTACTGATTTGTATGAAATAAAAATTAAGATAACGGCACAACATAGAGTCAGAAACATTAATCAAATAAGTTCTAAATAAAGTTACCATGAGGTCAGCAGCTTTGGGATCTTTCTTTTCTTTTTTCTTTTCATCCTTCTCCACACTAGCAATTTTCGGTACTTTTGGAGTTGTTTCTCCTTCAGATTCACCTTCACCTTTTCGTTTTTTAAGTTCATCATCTGCAGGCTGTTCTGTCCTTTGGCTATCCAAATCATCACCACCCAATTCATTCACCATTGCAACAAGTTTTGTGTGTTCAGCAGACACAACTTCCAAAAACAGTTTTCCATCTTTGGAACTTTCTTTCACACTGGCAATACATTACAAAACAATTTATATATATGCAATACAAAGACACTAATAATTTAATTCCATAAAATGTTCTAATTCCAGAAAAAACAAAATTGCTTTTGTACATTATGATGCAAGTGCCAGATCACATAACTACACTCACAGTCTTGCATAAATAATGGAATTGCTGGTAAACGTTTTGTGTCATACCTAATTAATTGTTGGGTGGCAAATTTTTGGAGGAGATTTGTCACAGAAACATGAGGCACATTTTTATTAAGCTGCTTGCCGACAGCTGATGCTAGTTCAACTGAACCTGTCGGAAGAGTCAGTGATATTTCACAAAGACATCGCAGCAACTGTCTTTCAATTTCTGGATCAGGTTTTACCAGATCTGCTTTCTTTTCTGTCACCTCTACATCATCTGTAAAGAAAACATTACAGTAATACAAAACTAATAAGTTTTAATTGACTTTATGATACTGATTCTCACCTTTGGTTTGTGCTACAGGAGAGGGGACATTGGAACCACTGCCTTCCGCAGAAAGTACTTTGACTTTCGCAAGAGTTGTAGAATTAACATCTAAGGTACAATATTATGAATTAAAAATATGTATAAAACAATTCTTTACACTTATTTTTCCAACTGGTTCACTTTTCACAGTTTAATACGTACCCGTTCCTAATGTCACAGCTGACTGATTTAGAATGTCCTCCCGCTCTCTTTTTCGTTTCTGCAATTTTTCACGTAAACTATTGCGTTTACTTTTGATTGCTTGAATTTCTTGCCAAGCATCAGACATGTTTACTGTCATTGTTTTCAAAACATAACCTTAAAACAAACGCAATGCCCAATACTGAAAATACATAGCTCTCAGAACAACAACAAATTATGATAACATTGTAACATCTAGGACATCTTATCGTTTCGGTTCAGTAATACGAATGCTTCCAATATAGAACATTATTTTCTTTACAAGCAGCAGACCGAACCTAACTTTCAACAAAAAACACGCACCGTACGTGCAAGTTTGAACTGTTGGCGAACATGTATTTTAAAGTCGATAGTCGCCCATTTAACCGAACGACGCGATTGGGTTTATCGATATGAAGTTTGTGCACGCCTTTTCTTGGGCGCTACAAATATGCGAAATAAAATATTTGCGAAATTTGAACTCCTCATGCTGTTTGAAAAATAACGAAGACAATACCTATGCAACTAACAATAATAATAATAATAATAATAATAATAATAATAATAATAATAATAATAATAATAATAATAGTGCAATATTATTGCACCCCGAGAAGGCCATTTGTGTGCAACATTAAATGGAATAAAGTATCTAAGGAAGAGGCGAAATATTAGTTTTTAAAACGTCGCGCCGTATGCGAAACATGGTTTTTGGTGCTTGTTTTCCTTGTGCGAAATGTTTTTCACAGCGTGCAAAACAACGCGAAAGGTGTGTGAAATATAGTGAAGCGTTGTTGACAAGTTCGCAATTGTCTTTCTTCTCGCCATGTCTTTGTTCATTATTCACGAATAATAGTGTTACGACACTGGCTGGAATCCTTTTAATTTTGTTCAAGTAAGGTATTTCTAGTTATTTGATATTTAAATTATATTCCTTTTCTGACGCATTTCGTCTCGCTCACGGTGTGTTAAAAAGCAATCTGACAACAGTCGCTCAGTCTAGAGTCGGCAAGACTCAATGCAGCAAGTTTTGAAGAGTAGTGACATTTTATCTTGGTTTTCCGTTAGTCTGAGTTACGTTTCGCCTACTGGTGAAAAGAGACATTTGTCTTCATAAGTGTTCTAAAGTACTTCATAAGTGTTCTAGGTACATACGATGTTTAATGTTTCTAAGGTGTTTTGAGCTTCACACTCGAAATGGACATTTCTCAACTTCAAGTTGACCACTTCAAGAAGCCCTGAAATGTTCAAAAGTAATTCTCTTACTATATTACACATGAACAACGTGTAATTCTGCGCATAGAGTTGAATGTTGAATGACGTCACATACAGATTTTACTCTTTTATGACTAAATAAATCTAGATCTAAATCTAAAAATCTTGTATTGAAAAAATATCACCATTCTAAAATAATTATTAAAATTTTGAGGCTCTAATTGCCTACTGGATATACCTCCGTGTTTCCCAGATATCCGCCAAATACTGAGAAGGTTCCATTCATTCTAAAATATTAGTTCTGAATAAAGATTGTGTACATTCTTTAGAAAAAATGAGTTTTCGCATAATGTTTGCTTGAACTTAATGTCTTGTTAATTTAAAAAAAAATGGCCCCAAAGACTTTCTTTAATTTTTTTCCACTTATAGAGCAAACGACATTTAAAAACCAGTGCAGACCTCACTTTCGACGAACTATCTGGTTTCAAATATTGCAAAAGTTAGAGTTAATACAATAAAGTATGAGCTATTGTAACATCTCCAATTAATAAAATACTTCTACTAATGCTCTTACATGTAACTCAGTTTCCGTAGATATACTATCCATACTATCGGTATTTGATTTAACACGCGTGGCACAAATAAATAGTATTTTCATTGGGAAAGTTCCCGCTGGATGCGTCACGATAAGCTAGTTAATATAATATTCGAAATTAGGTACCACGAAAAAAAAAACAAAAAAAAAACACCCTTTCCATCACACACTTCTAAAAAAGTGGAGCTGCAACAGCATATACTTTTTTGTGTTATTGGAAACAGCAACGTAATATTGAAATATTGTATTTTCTGCGATACTAACACCTTAGCCATTTTTTCGAATCATCCTATACAATCAAGAAATGAGAAAAACACCAATGCCAGCGCAGCGTTATCAAAACTGTGAATTAGCTTGGCAAATACTATCAGTACAGTAAATAGAATTTATGCAATTTGTATCAAATTAATTATCAACATTCGAATTACGAGATGCTTTCGTCGTAAGATAACAGTTCTTATAGCGGTTCATTTCATTACCGACATTAACATCTACACTTTAGATACGATAAACACTATTGCTTTTCAATAAAGCGTCCGTGGTGGAGAGTATATAATCTCTGTTAAAGCTCTATGATTCTCGGAAGAGAGAAGATGATATTAACAAAACAAATGCTTCTCAATCGGTGTGGCATTGTTGCGAAATTTCTATTAAGCTTTGCGGATTGCTTAAAAAGATATACATTAATACATTGAGAATACACATTGAGTAAAAAGTAAAAAATGTGAGAAAGGGAAATCAGAATTAATATTGGCAATTTTCAAAAGGACATTATAATTAAAATTAAATTAATTATTTTCCATATCATTCATTCAATTTTTCTCGTGGCCCGTAGTTGGTGTGAAACTTGTTTATGTTTCATTAATTTCAAGCAAAAATTACTCAAAAACTACTCGTTTTTTCAAAAAACTACATGACATTTTTAAAGTACTAATGTTGCACAATAGACTTTGTCTGAGGCCATAATCTTCATCTTCAATTTTGTAGTTTAATATATTTTTTTTAAATTTTCAAAACAGCTAGCAATATCCAAAAATGAGACAAGCACCATATATTTTATTCTAATCGTTTATTACATTATTATTATTATTATTATTATTGTTATTATTATTACTATTATTAATATTATTACTATTCTTCTTCTTCTTCTTCTTCTTCTTCTTCTTCTTCTTCTTATTATTATTATTATTATTATCGTTTTATTACACGAATGAAGAAAATTTAAAGACTAAATTGCTGTTTTTGAAACACTTTTTTGTGTAAATTCAAATCGGAAAATACGCAAACACTACTCGTTTTTTCAAAAAATTGTACATAACTTTTTTGGAAGAGCTAATTTTGTACAACAGACTAGGAGACAAAAATATCTATATCGTATTTTAAAGTTTTAAATTTTTATTCTAATTTTCGAAAAATCGGGGATGTCAACGAAAATGAGACCTGCACCTCTAAAAACCTTTGTCCTTTGTATTATTCAACAACAAAATTTAATTTTAAAAAATTGGAGCTATTTTTTTGAAAATTTAGAAAACATCCCGGATGTTTCATGTAAAGTACTCTCCAAAATAAAAATTTCGGTTTCAAATTCCAAGTCCCGCGACATCAACTTGGGCAATTGAGGAATATCAATTTTGGAGAAAATCGGCTGAACTGTTTATGCGCTAGCGTTGTGCACAGACGGACAGAGACGTTTTCCCGTCAGTCGGTTTGAAGGACGCACAAAACATAGATTCTGGCTACACTAAGTGTTCGATGATTTTTTATACATTTAGCAACTGAATTTGTCTCCTTTTTCCTTACCAGTGCCCGGCAATAAGAGTTTTTGTGTCGAAAATTCGCCGTTTTCCGTTGCACGCTTACAATACTTTCTCTTCTTACGTTAGAAAGCGCGAGACAGTAACAATGTATTTGAATAATAAGTTGTGGTGCTACAGAATGGTACAGATTTTCCCGTATTAGTTTTCTATTTCCATTAGTCTCGACTAGCTATTCGGACTTGTCACATCTTACCAGCTGCCATCTATCGCCGCCCAAAGTACATTTCTTTAAAATTTTCTTAATTTTTCGGCTTCCTAATAGTAGAATCGAATTATTACTTTAAAAATAAAAAAAAAACAGTAAAACCTCGTCCCAAATGACAATTTTCATTGAAAAATTTCGGGCCGTTTTTAAGAAAATGGCATTTAAGCGTTATTGTAAATTCGACATTAAAACCACTGTTCACAAAAAACTATTGATTTTTCGAAAAACTTCATATGACGACATTTCAAGTACTTCCAGTCACAAATGCAATTGTATTTACAAATTGTAGTAAATGTGCATATTGAAGGCGTGAGAGACCTTTTAAATAATTTACATTTCTGTAATTTTTGAAAAACAACGACAAAAGAATGCAGAAAAATCATTCTGTGTCATCTTAAACAGTGCAATGAGCACTATCTTTTGGAAAAGTTTGAAGAAAAAGTTTGCAGCCGTTTTAGAGAAATGGTGTTTAAACGTTTCTGAAAATGCGGAATTTTGAGTTCATTTTCACGGAAAACTGTTGAGTTTTCGGGAAACTTTATCTCACGTTATTGAAAGCACATGTACTCAAAAAACATTAATGTAAATAAATTGCCGCTAATGTAAATATAACGACGTGAGAGACAAGTAAAAAAATACGTTTTTGTAATTTTTTAAAAAGCAAAAGGCATTGAAAACGATTAAAATTTTCAAAAAAGAAATGTGCATGACCTTTAAGAAAGAACTTACCTTAAAGAAGAGAACAAATTTTATTTGAAAGGAAAATGTCAATATTTAATCTTGTAGTTGTAGGAAGTCACCGAAAAAAATCACCCTTTTGAAATTTTAGAAAATTCAGAGTTAACTGTGTAAATCGGACCTATGCCACTTTTATACGCGTATCTTACTCAATTCTTACAAGAAATTTAAGAAAAAATGTACACCTTTTTTTGAGAACATTTTGAAAATGTCCGGAGGGCTTCATGTAAAGTACCCCAAATTTTGAAGAATGTTTTTCAAAATCTCAAAGTTTCGTCCCGAGCCAGTTGGACATGAGTTTCTTCAATAGAAAAAAATCCTACGTATGCTTTAGGCGCTAGTAGTGTTCACAGACGGTTAGACAGATGGACGTTTTGAAAAGGACCACTTTTTCGGTATAAGGAGGCTCCAAAACGTGTATTTCAGTCGAAATCTCGAAATCGATTTTCTGCAGCATAGCATAACTTTCCCTTATACTACGTATATACGTTCGTATATGGGAAAGTAAATATTACAGAATCTTCCTTAATTTATTTCTTGGTCAAATACCTTTTGAAAGGTCATTAGCTTAAGGAAACTCGATTTTAAAATTTTAATGACTTCTTTGAACTTTGGGTGATGGCAGACCTTTCGCAATGATGCGTAGTGAAAATGATGTTCTTTCTTAAATTGATGGAAAAACAACTGACTCAAACAACAACAAAGAACTTTGAATGGGAACCAGTATATATGATGTATTGAGTAGATAGAGGTAAAGGAAAGGAAATGAAGTAACAAATGAAACTCACCCAAGCAA